CAAAAAATTATGTTTTATTTTTGCTGTTATGAGATCTCAAATTTTTTTGTTTGGTCATACTTTTTTCTTTTCCAGCTTCCTCGTTTTATTTTTCTTTTGGTTCTCTCGTTTTTGACTTCACTTAATTTATTTCCTTGTTGCTCTTCTGCTGTGAACGATATGGCATTTGAAGGCGACAAAAAATTACAGCTGCTCTTTTGACAACTTATCGTGCGTTGTACTCAGTACATAAAAGTTGCAGTGAATTCAAAACCTGCTCAGAGTTTTGTTCTGATACAGGATTTTTAGAAGGATTTAAAACTGTCAAATTCTCAACAAAGGACGGAGTCTGCTAAAAATTTATGTGTTTTTCCAACAGCTATATTTTGCTAAAATTTACTTTTTTACTACAGTAATCATCCTTTTGTCTTTCAGTCTTTTTTTTTACCTAGGCAAAAAGCGAAGTTTTTTAGAGTACTGCTGTTTTTTCCCAAGTGAGAATAGAGCTTTTTATGTTAACATGCAACGAACGCCTAGCCGAAAAACCACTTTCAACGGTCGCCCGGGTCACATAAAACGTTACTGTGACTTTTCGCAAAAATATCAAGCTGTTATATAAGCAAGATTAGGGCTGCAATAGCTGGACTTTGGAAACTCGCTACGATGTTTATTGGTGTAAGTCCAGAAGGACTAAGCAATATTTTTAACACTTAACGCTTTCGGAATGCTGCAAAAGTTACACCGAAGATTTCCGAAATTCCGATTTTACTCTGGTCTTCTGCTTTTCTGTGTCTTTTAAATGCCAGTGGTTTTGTCTTTTGAGAGTGTTGCTTTTTAGTTGACAGTGTAGTGATGTCTCCTTTTGTTTTTTTTTTTACTTTATTACATTATACCATGTTTTATTTATTTATTTATTTGTTTTACTAATTTTGGATATGGAGTTAAAATTTAAAATTTTTGTCATCAGAATGAGACATTGTAATGTTATCGGTAATTTATATGCCCATGCGCATTTGAAGCAAAACCCGCATGCGTTTCAAAAGTCCTCAGATCTTTTATCAAATTTGTCTTACCTTGGAAGGAAATTTGCACCTCCCTTCTTCACTACATTAAAGGTCTTATGAAGGTTTGTCGCGTATTCAGTAGCTGTTCGTAAGTTAATTGTTGTTGTTATTACTGTTTTGATTAAGAATGACGTCAGCGGGTAAAAAGAGGCAAATTGTTCCTCCGGCTGAGGACCTGTCAAATGTCGAGTTTGAAACTTCAGAAGAAGTTGAGGTTGTCCCAACTTTTGATAATATGGGTTTGCGAGACGAACTCATGCGTGGGATATACTCATATGGTCTGCTTTCTCACTTGTTTTGCAAAGCTCTGTTTTCGTTAACTGAAGTCCAATGTGTTCTATACGTAAATAGTTTCCCTCCATTTTGTTTTTGCTGGCAATACCGTCTTTTAACGTCGTGCAACTAACCTGTTTTGTTTAGGCTTCGAGAAACCCTCAGCAATCCAGCAGCGAGCCATAAAACAGATAATTAAGGGGCGTGATGTTATTGCCCAGTAGGTCTTATTTTCGATTTTAAGTTTTCTAAAGCTTCCCGCTTTTCTGACGCACTCTTCAGGCTTGTTTTGTTGCTGGGAACAGAACGACTTAATAAATCATGTTTAGAGCGCAATCCGGTACGGGCAAAACAGCGACGTTTAGTATCAGTGTGTTACAGTGTCTGGATGTAGCCGTGCGCGAGACACAAGCTCTTATTCTTTCTCCTACTCGAGAGTTAGCAGTTCAAATACAGAAGGTTACAACAACTTTATTGTTTATCATTATTTTGTTTTTTTTCGATCATTTTTTAACCTCTCTGTGTTCATATATCAGACGCTAAGGAGGACCAAATATTTAAACGGAATAAGTTTCTTTATGATACTTTTTAAATTACAACTATATTTATGGCAAAAAAGCTAATTTTGTTCTTAGCATCGGAACTTTTTATTGAATTGTTTCTTGAAACTGTATTGGGGCCACTGTTGTTTTAGGTGGTGCTAGCTTTGGGAGATTATATGAATGTGCAATGCCATGCGTGTATTGGTGGCACAAATGTTGGAGAGGATATTCGTAAGCTTGATTATGGACAGCACGTTGTTTCTGGAACGCCTGGAAGAGTTTTTGGTAGCAACAGTGTTTTGCAAGCACTTTAAAAACTACCCTTTAGTGCAGATATATCATCTTTTTTTGAACTGTATTTAGACATGATTCGTCGAAGGAACTTACGTACACGAAGCATAAGGATGTTGGTACTTGATGAAGCCGATGAAATGTTAAACAAGGGCTTCAAAGAGCAAATATATGATATCTATAGATACCTTCCTCCCGGAGCACAGGTTGTGCTCCTCTCAGCTACGCTTCCGCACGAAATTCTCGAGATGACTAGCAAATTTATGAGTGATCCTATTCGTATACTTGTAAAACGGTATTTTCCAAATTTGCAACTGTTTATTTGGTTTTTTTTCAATTTAATGGGGTTTTTTTAAGTGATGAATTGACACTCGAAGGTATCAAACAGTTCTTTGTCGCTGTTGACCGTGAGGAATGGAAATTCGACACATTATGTGATCTTTATGATACGCTGACTATTACCCAGGCGGTTATTTTCTGTAATACTCGGAGGAAGGTGCAGCTTTTTTTTACATGACTTTTAATACATAAAGATAGCTGAGTTCTTCTGGATTACTTGTTTGCTGGATTTTTACGAATTTGTTGAGCTGAAGGTTTTTCGCCACGTTTCAGTGGATATGTATTATACTTTACTGTAGGTTGATTGGTTGGCGGAGAAACTCAAGGAAGCTAACTTCACAGTGTCCGCAATGCATGGTGAAATGGAGCAAAAAGAGCGTGATGCAATTATGAAAGATTTTCGTAGTGGATCAAGGTTTTTTTTAATCGATTTTTTCTGCTTTTTAAAAGTTTTATTGTGCTTCATCGCCATAGATCTGATTATGAATAATATTTTTGCTGATTCTAGTCGTCTACTGATTTCAACTGATGTTTTTGCTCGTGGATTGGATATTCCCCAAGTGTCGTTAGTGGTCAATTACGATTTGCCAAATAACCGTGAACTTTACATTCATAGGTAAATTTGTTTTTTATTTATTTATTTTTTTTTCGAAAAGAAGGAGCTTTTTGTTAAGCTGCAGTGCAGATTTAATAAAGTAACTGTTCCCTGAATTTTTAGGATCGGACGTTCTGGTCGTTTTGGAAGAAAAGGCGTAGCAATAAATTTTGTGAAAGCTGATGACATTAGGATTTTGCGAGATATAGAACAATACTATGCAACTCAAATCGATGAAATGCCGATGAATGGTTTGTTATCCTTGTCTAATTGCATCGTGCGAAGCAGCTCATTTTTTTTTAACTATTGTTGCCACCAAAAACCCTGGTTCTATTTTTTTTTCTTTTCGGCGTTGTTTATGCACCATTAATTTGAAAAAGTTTTTTCAGTTGCGGATCTGATTTGAATGGAGGTGTGACTGAGGTTGAACAGCTGATTTATCAAGTTTTGGCATTGCTTTGCTTTTCGAAGATCTCTGTAAATTTGGGTTGAGTATGTGCGTTTCTCTTACTGGACTTCTTAATATTGCAGTGAGCTGTGTCCTGAACTTTCTTTGCGCTTTTATTGTTATCGTCATTGTTGTTAGCGACACAAAGTTTTTAAGCCTTTATTACCGTTCTTCTGCCTCAGTTTATGTTCATGGCACTCTGTTCTGGCTTTTTCTAAACTTTGTATAATCATTTGATTAATAAATGGTAACTTTATAGTAACTTTTTTTTTCATGGACGCAAGGTGCTTTTAAACTAAAGAATGCTGGGTTCAGGCTTTAAGAGCCTTGAGTACGATTGATGTCATCACGAATTTTGCTCAGTGGGTCGCTTAGTAAAGAGTAACTTTTGAAGCATGGTTTGCTTCAGAACGTATTTGTTCTGCGAATTCTGAGTCTCGCGTCTAGCCCTTTATACGTCTTCAAGTGTTGGGCAGTACCATGGCGGATTATGAAGAAGCGTGTTCAACATCAGACACTGCTGATTCATGGTTAGACCCTATATCAGGCTCCAAAGTCCGGGTCAAATAAAACCACCAGTATATAAGCTGAAATGCAAGGTAAGTGGTGATTTTGTTTCAAAACAAGAGGAGTTGTCACTGGTGTTTCTTGGTTTAGTACTTCTGCATCTCTCCTATGTGCTCACATGAGGTTTTTCCACTCATGTTTTGTCGTAAAACCATCTAGAACAATAGGCAACGAGCAAAGTTAACCGTTATAGATGCTTACGTTAAATATAGAGAATGACAGGGCGAAGCAAACGATGGAGAACTTGTCAATCGTCTCCGGTTGCGCCATCGATTTTTTTTGTACTCTGATACTATTATGCTGCTTGGAAGCAAGTTCGACTTCCTGCAAATCATATATACCGGTAAAAACAAATTTCAACCGGTCGTGAAAAAGAGAAGGAGAAGAAACATCTAATGACTGTTCTTTACAATAATTATCACTCCCGAACCGCTGATTATTTGGACCTATGTGAAGATGATAGTTGAAGGAATTTTTTTACCGGCTCGCTGATGAAAGGCACATTACTTCTTGAGCCAAGGACTGTTTCAGATTCGTTGTCGTGTAGAGGTGCATTTGGAGGAAAAGGAAGATGTTTGTTAAAAGGGCTCGTAAATGGCCATGACATTTTGGTACAAGGGACCTTTGATTCTCTCTCACGAACATGATATTTTTGTAAATACGTTGCATGGAGACCCACATTTAAAATTACAGTTATTAAAGAACTTTCAAAGCAAACGTTGCGGCTTACCATAAGGTTTTTGAAATGTATCAAAAATAAGTGCCATTCGTTGCCTTCTTGTTATAAACAACTTTTTTGTCAACTTACTAAAATCTGATTCTCTTCTGCAACTTCCGTTTGGAACCACGCTTTGTTGCTGAAGCTTGTAGCTGTTATACTGCAGTTTCCTAGCTTTTTCTGCCTTCGCTCCTTTTTTTTGAATTACCTCTTGACATCGACAAAGGTAACAAATAAAAGCTAATTCTACCATCGTTCCGAAAACGAAAGATATGCAACCTAAAATACTGTTTTTAAAACATAATGAAGGATTTGTTTTTTACAGTTGTCTTTCGGTAACGATTATAATTCTGTGGTAGTTGAATAAGACAGAAAGTTTGATTGAAAGTTAAGAAGCAATTATAGAGGTGATATTTTTTGATTTAATAATTTTTTGACTTTTGGTATACTACTAATAAATTACCAAGCATCCATATATCAACTGCTTTCACGTAGGAAACTCGTGGCAAGTTCTTAAGGATGTTTCCGAATTGGAAGGTTAAGGCTAGCAAAGAGGAGACTCCTAGCGTTGTCCGTGCTGGAAGCGCTTTGGGCTCCATACAAAAACCAACCCAACTAACTATTATTGTTAAATAGGTAGGTACATAGGCTTGTAATATGTAAAACCCATAACGTCGTTTAAATTTGAAGGTTACCTAAATTGAAGATGACCTCAGTCAAAAACTACTTTTTTTATTTACAGTTTTACTTTTATAGTCTATTTTACAGAAGAATACTTACAAAAATTCATCACACCTTAATTATTACTCTGTGTGTAAACTGTATTAAAATAATTCCTAATTGTCTAACATATAATTTGACCAAATATTTTTTTGACCTACGAAGAACGTTTATGACTTTTGAGTTAAATGAATTGCTTCCACGTTATTTGCGTATGTAGAGAAAGGAGTTAGCAGGATAAGTATCATTCTTTGCCTATCGCTTTTGTATATTGAATAAGGAGATGAAGAGGATATGAAGAAACGAAAAGATGTATTGGGTAGCAAAAAGCTGTGATTTCGACTTTGGATATTTTAGATGCTGGAGAATTTTTTGGAATAAAATTGGTAGGAATAAAATGGGCAGCGTGAAAGAAAATCTGTGCTAGAGGTAAACAAATATTTTGCAAAATTTTCTGTTTGAGGATTTTGTCTCAGGATAGGGAATAAAGTTATTTGGGCGATCTCAACATTCGCCATATTCTGGCAAAATGCAATTTAAAAAGTATCATTTCAAATCAAGTTTCTGTACTACAAGTAGAGCAGTAAGAACCAACTGCTAAAAGTTGAAGATGCATAATTTCTTTCAATTCAAGGCTAAAAACTGCTTTTAGCGATTGATTATCAGTCGCGATAGCTAGGACAAAATGCTGATAGTGTGTGCTTTTTCAACAAAGAAGCTTTGCTTGTCTTAAAGCTGGTACTTCAGATAGGTCTTTAAAGTTTATATGAAATACTTAAATTAAGATATTGATGAGGTAGAAAAATAACAAGAACTCTAGTAAAAATATGAAATTTTAATGGGCTATCCATTAATTTTCAATAATTTTTCCTGGAATGGATGAATTAATTTTAAATGTTGAATGATAGGCACAATGTCCACTGCTTTATCTTTTATGCTCAGCTTTTATCAAGCAGCTGTTGTTGGTGCCCCAAGCTGAATACCAGTTCTTCTTATAGGTACATAATAATTTTAAATATGTCGACAGCTCCAGCGCGCTGATTAGGCAATGTTCTTCGGGAGCAGATGAGGATTTGAGGATGCACGGTACTGAACGCAAATTCACAGCACGCTTAAACTGACTGGGGATAGCATGGTATATAGGTTTTTCTGTCATCCCGACCATTATATGCGACCACTCGTGAATTCTAAGTTTAGAAGTTTCAAATTGAACTCAGCTCAAATTAAACTCAAATCACTCAGGGACGTTGATGTCAAATGAAAGGGCTGCAAAAGCCTATTGTTTTCCAAATATAAATATTTTTCGCAGTGTTGCTGCTATAGTTTGCAAAAAACTATTCACATTGTTTTTCCTATAGCTATGTGAAAGTAAAGCTTGTCAAATATATATAACAGAACTTGGCGCTGGTGATTGGCTTTTCTAAGCACTCTATTCTTCTATTTAGATTTGAAGCTGAATTCTACTTTGCAAAAAATTTTAAATATTGGTTAGAAGAAAGCATACGATTTGACGTGAAATCGCCGGCTAAATTAACGGTGATTTACCATAAAAATTCTAATGCTTGCGCTGCAGTTTTGATCGCTATATCCTGTTTAGCCAAGACTTATCAAGGTTGACTCATTGTAAATGCATATGAAAAAATACTACAATATTCAGAACTGTTTTCAGCTTTTGCACGCGGTTCTGCTTTCTTTATTCGGTTTCAAAATTTCACGCTAATACGATACAACTGATGATAAATCCAAACGTGAATCGGTTTGTACGCGTTCTTTAATTTACCTTTTACTCTATAATTTTACATCTTTGTTTTCTGAAACACTGTAGTTAATAGTATTATTGTCAACTTCAATCTTTTAATTAACGGAGAACAAACTGATCATACAGATGCAAAATTTTGATTGTTATAAGAATCTGCTGCCGGAATAAACGGCTGTTGTGCCAATAACCAGTGTAACTGAAGTTAGTTGGTTCAATTCTCAGCGGAGTTCAAGCCGACAAACTTTTCTGTAGGTACTTCAGGTTAACAGTTGGCACAACAATCGCAACAGTTACAAATTTTTATTTACCAAGCTAGGTTAGCAGTTGGAAGTAATTGATTTTGTTATCAAATTCTTCTCTGTTAGCTAAATGATCAAAGTCAATTCTAATATACCAGTAAAATTTTCATTTTTGAACATATTAAGCAGTTTTAACGCATCGCGTAGATGGAACGTTATATGTCATTATTTGACTACATCGATAGCCATAGTTTTTTGTCTTACAGACGAGAAAATTGCGACGAACTTTATGCATTTGAAGCCAATCACAACAGTGCCATCAGCGCAAAAGTTTTTCACTAGTTTTAAGCTGATCTGTCTGAACAATTTTCTCCTGATACTCGGGCAACAAAACTGTCTTTTTAAGATTTTCTTCTACTTTTTTGGTTAACTAATTGAAAAATTTGCCGTACTTTAATTATTTTGCAAAGGAAGATTTATTGTTGAAACCACGGTTTGCTGTTCAAACACTAGGATGTATACGGAATTAAACACCAACGAAAAATGTTGACTTTAGAAAGCCAGCTAGTAACGATGACGTTGGAGTGGTCTACAGTATTTTAAGTTTTTTAAAACATCTTTTGCATGTGAAAGTTTGATAAGTTATATAGAAGCTAAAAAAATGTACCCGCAGTTGATCCCAAGGTCCGTTTGGATAGAGCATTTTTTCATGATATGCATTAAAAGATACCAAATCAAAGTCAGGTAGCTGAATATTTTTTGTCAAAGTAACAGCTTTTTCCATCCATTTCAACTGCACTTCGTCACTGCTGTGAGAGTAAGATTCCAAAACTAAGGTACTGAAAATCAGCTTTTTCATTTGCTTGTTTCCAGCAAACAAAAAACAATTCTGTGCTTAACGTTTGTTAAATGGGATTAGACGAATGATTAAGTTTTAAAGACCGAGTAAGATCAAAATGATCGTTTTTTGAAATCACATAGCTTTCCAAGAGTTTTCCAGTGTAATAGATTTCCGTATTATTTTTGTACTAGTAATTTTGGTGGTAAAAACTTGCTTAACCTAAACAACAAAACTGTTGTTTTTCAGTTATGATAAATGATTTATTTCTTCTTCAGAGCTGACTGAAGTGAACTTACCACGTTTGAACATCAAAAGGAAATGTTCTGAGGTCTAAGTCACAAGGTGCTTTGACAGACATCCTGTGGTTTGTCCAAACAGTACCATTCTGAAAACTTGAGGTAAACTGTAGGATGTATTTTAATTCCTAATTTTTTTGCTGCTTTAACAAGTAATCAACTACTTAGTGCCAATAACCGCAGTGTAAAATAGATTACAGAAAATTAAATTTATTTTATAATTCAGTGAGAATTGTCAAAGTCAAATGTTTTATCTGTTTTAAGAAATTACAACCACTTGTATTAAAATTGAAGCATTCATTTTGCAAAAGAGCTTAAAATAAAGTGAGATTTGTTTTAGATGTTAACAGCTTATTTTTTGCCAATAAAAGATATTGAAAGTGTAAAGGAATTTTACTGTTTTTATCAATACTCTTGAAAATTCCTATATCTTTAAAGAGAAATCTACTGATAAAAATGTTATGCTAAAAAAGACAAGAAAAGATGGTTTTTTACTCAATGCAAGATGATATTAACTCAACAGTACTTACTTCATAGAGGATAAACATTATGTTTTCAGTAGGCGAAGTGTGTATTGCCGTTTTTTTTGAGTTCATAATACATATATTTGGAGTCCAGATGTCTTTGAGATGCCTTAACTTAGGAATTGCTGTCAGCTTTGTTGAGTTAATTTATATTTCTGAACCATTTTCAAGAGCATCAAAAACGTAAAACAGAGTTGAGAATTTTTGTTAATTTAGTTGTCGTTAATGCTGCAAAATGTTGCTTACCATTTTAGAAACCAAAAACAGTTGTATAAGAAAAATTTGATTACAGCAATACAATTTATAAATTTTAATCTTTTTATTCATTTAGCATTTGACAGTGTATACAATATTTGTTTTTTTTTTTACTTTTAGTGTAAGAAAAAATAATAAGAAACATCGGTTTAAAATTACTTTGTTTCCATTGTAATATTTTTCTTGCACGCTTTATAGTTCTCAAAACTAAGTGCTGCATCTCGCCATAGCTGCGTAAAAAGTATATCGATGTCAAAATCAGCAGTTATTTCGTTTAATGATGATACATCCTATAAATCTTATTTTTCAATGTCTTTAACTGAAACACTGTGATATCTGTCAATCGGTTAAACAATTGCTGCTTGGTAACTGTTCAAAATTTAATAGTATCA